AGGATAGCTTTGAACTCATGGAAATCTGCCTGCCTCTGCTTCCCAAGTGCTGGGATTAAAGGCATACACCATCACGCTTGCCTTGGGAAGGCAGCTTTTAAAGTTATTTTACTTGGTAGATTTTGGGGATAGCTGGTGAAGAAAGTTTCACAGCTGAAGATGTTCCTGTCACCTACATCTGAAAGAGTCCCATGTCCTGTGTGGTCACCTCCCAAAACTGCAGGCTTATATTCTTTGATGCCTTTTTTCCCATGGTCAGGATACACACAGTGTGGGCTAATGCTCTCTCTGCCTCCCCTCAGCTAAAGCAGCCAGGCTGCATCAAGGAATGAAGAAGGGGGACCCACACCCACAGACCCATTCCCCTCTGGCACACAAGCTCCCATTCTTCTGCCAGTACATCCAAGCTGAATCTTGACACTGGCGCTGTTTCCGCTCACACAGCAGACTTCAGACATTTCTTATACGAGTCACACTTTTCTCAAGTCTCAAGCATCACTTTCTTGGCATCTTCTAATGCTCCTTCTTAAGACTGACTGCTAGCCTGGAGGTGGTGGCACACACCTTTAATCCTAGCACTCGAGAGGCAGAGGCAGATGATCTCTGTGAGTTTGAGGCCAGCCTGGTCTACAGAGTGAGTGCCAGGACAGGCTCTAAAGCCATACAGAGAAATCCTGTCTCAAAAGCAAACTGACTTCTGACATTTTCCTTGAGTTTTTGACAGTCAGCACTCTTACTTGTACCATGTGGCTCCGTGTTATCTGTCTCCTGCAGCTTCTACAGGAAGCTGGTTCTCTGCCAAGGCCCAACACACACAGCTGTGCTCACATATTGATTGCAGCTACGTAAGAAATGGAAGGAACAACTTAAGTCCTTTCTACAAATATGGAACTTTCCTGAAGTCTGTCAATCATGGGATTTATGCCTTTAATATTAATTTCTGAAATTTCAGACATACACAGAACGCTCACCTTCACTTGGCTTCCAGGGCTGTCATCTGGATTCTCAGGGAATACCTACTCATTAGATCAACCATCTTTGCACTGATCAATTAATTTGTGTGGTGACTAACAAAGTGGGCGAGGATGAGCACACTTGTGTTCTGCAAACTATGCCTCGAGGCACAGAGTGCCCTTTATCATGTTCCGACGGCTTCAGCTGGCATTCATTATCCAACCCTCCTGTCAATTACGAGTGTTGAGATTGATCACAGTTTTCATTTATCCTTTCACGGGGCCTCCACAGCATGCCTTGTTTTACATTTCCCTTTCTTTTTGTTCAATGGTAAGTTGTTGACCACTCCTTGAGGGAGTGGGTGAGAAGACTCATCAACATGACTCAGGGACTGGGAGTCAGTGAGTAGCAGAGCGTGATGCAGACTCGTTTATTAAGGAAGTTAGACCTGCCTTTATACCCCCTCCCAAGGGCCCACTGGCTCAGGTGGCTGACTGTTGTGATTGGTCCTTTTCTCACTGGTGTCTCTGGGAGTAGAGGCAGGCTTGGCTCAGGGAGAAAGTGCCTGCCTGGCATGCTCATGCAGGCTGGCCTGGGCACCTGCAGCTTGGGTAGGCTGGCCAGCAGTTTCTCCTACAGTAAATATATATAAAAATATTTTTAATGGCACCTTCACCATACTATATAGACTTAATCCTTTTTAGACAACTGAAAACAAGAAGGAGGGCTGTGAGCAGCAATTTTAAAGTAGTATCTAAGGTTTGTAAAAAAACAACCTCACTTTTCTGTTACAAATTCCAAACATTCAATACTTTAGTCCCTAAATGCATGATCACCTTTATACCTCCCATGGCTAGTGAGAATGAGAAATTTCATTTTGAAGTAATAAATTTGGTTCAACACCATAATTTTCAAGAACTTCACTTGCAAAGTTCAAGGAAATAGGGATACTGAATTTAGGCCCTGTAGTTGCACGACATAAAAGTGGTAGCAGTGATGACAGCCTCAGGGAATGGGGACACAACTATATTTGAGAAAGTATTCAATCCTGTGTACAGCTCTTCCCATATGAAAACAAACTGAAGTTTCCCTCGTCAATATAGTTCTTTTGAATAGCTTCAGTTTGAGATGCCATTTGACACCCAAAGCAGATTACTACAGTTATGGCAGACACAACCCGAAGGAGGAAGGCTTTGTCAGGTTCACTGTTTAAGATGCATTCTATCACAGTGGGAGGCATGGTGGTAGGAGAGGCTCCTGGCTGTGTCCTAAGGAGTGAGAGCTCAGACCTAGAGCAGAGCCAACTACCCTCAAACATTGAACCTTCACCCTGAAGGTTCCATACCACCACCAATGCAGTACCCCCAGCTAGAAATCAAGTAGGACTCCAACAAGTGGGACATTTCACTTAGACCCTGGCATCTTCTTTTAGTTGCTAGGATTAAGACTGTCCTCTGACATTTCTCTTCTGTTGGAGAGGAAAAGAATACAGAGTGTGCGTGTTACTGCTATGAAATAGTCTATAGAGAAGCAAAGCAGGCACAGGGAAGAGAATGCTGGTGTGCAGAGTACCTTCACCAAGGGCAACAGAGGAGGGCAGGAGGGAGTGAAAGAAGCAACAAAGCAATGCATGGCAGCCTTAAGAACTGCAAGTTGCAGTGGGGCTGGAGTATCAGAAGACAGATAACACAAGAAGGCACCATGATATGTAGGTACTTGTTGGGGACAGTAAGGTCTTTGCTTTTACTGACATGTATTGGAGAGATATGAGCAGAGGACAGACATGGTCTCAGCATTAAAATGTTCATGTGGTCTGTTGTGTTGAGAAGCCTGTGGGAGATGAGGGAGGTAGGATGTAGGTTAATGGAGAAATTATCAGTTAGTCACATGGTCACGAGGCACAAGCCTTCGGTATAGTGTCCTCGTTAAGCTAGGCTGGTCAGTAAGCACAGTATACTCAACGTGATTTCCATGTGTGTATTACTTGGGATAGTTTTATCAGGATTAAATTCTATCTGAGGTCTAGAGGCATCTTTGTTCACACTTCTATCTTTACTACTTTTACTGTGCCAAGCTACAATCACTGCTTTTCTAGATTATCCCCACTGTGCTGCCCAGTGCCCAGGGAGAGGGACATACTGTGAATAGCTAGCCTTGACTTGAATTTCAGAGTTTTACTGAATGCTATCATAAAGCTAAACTATAGACTATATATCTGAAATAGACATACGAGCATGTGAGAAAAGATAATACCTGCATGACATTATCCAGCAGCAAGGTGGATACAATGTGACAGGTCCTGTTCTCAAGAAGCTCCCATTCTATGGGAAACCGACTTGGCCAGTCAGGAGATAAATACTACACAGCAAAATAAAGCTGAGGTATGAGATAGAGAGTTGGCAGGTATGACTATAAGGATGCCACCTGTAACTGACACAAGTACATAAAGAAAAGGGGAGCCCAGAAAGCAAGCAGGCCAAGTATGCCAATCTGGTAGCCACCACCATGTTTTAACACAAGACTGGACAAACTTCCTCAGGGAGTGGGTGATAGGGAAATTCAGGAAATATAAGAACATAGCTCCTGAGCATTCTGGCATTAGTGTGGAGCTTGTTATGATGGCTTTTGGTTCTGGAACTCCAAGGAGGAAAAGGAGATGGGCTGTCAATACAGGAAGTCCCTGTGAATCACAGCAGCAAACTGCTGTGGCTCAGTCTCTTGTTCACTGTGGAACTGAGTGGTCTTGCAGTAGTCTTTTTTAAGTCTTTTTTTTTTAATATTTTTTTTTTTTGCCAGAGTGTACATAACATGTGTGTACTACCTATAGGGGCCAGAAAGGGACATCTGGGACTGTAGTTACACATGGCTGTGATCTGACTTGTGGGTGCTGGGCACTGAACCTGAGTCCTCTAGAAGAGGAACTGCTGAGCCATCTCCTCAGGCCCACAGAATGGTTGTTCTTAACACCTTTCTCAGACTGATATCTTAGAACTAGGGATATTTGTTTAAAAGGAGCTGCATTTCCAATTCACTCGAGTCCTACTGAATTAATCTCTGGAACTAGATCCTGAAGGGAATGTACAGACGGCCCTCATATTCACTCAACTTCCAAGCCACTTAGCAAAGGAGAAACACTACAAGACCAAGTGAAAGGGACATAAGTGTGGTGAGAGGTTAGGGTGGCCAGAGCCACAGCACAGTCCCAGGAGGTTTTAACCCCACGTGCACTCACAGCATAGGAGGGCTAGGGAGGGGAGCCGAGTGATCAAAGGCATGCAGTGTGGGAGTGAACTGGGGTGAGAAAACTCAAAATGCCATTACACAGGTGGTGGTGGTCTTGCTCACCTTTTTTTTTTTTTAAGATTTATTCACTTATTACATATACAGTGTTCTGCCTACATGCCAGAAGAGGACACTAGATTGAATTGCAGATGGCTGTGAGCCACCATGTGGTTGCTGGGAATTGAACTCAGGACCCCTAGAAGAGCAGTCAGTGCTCTTAACCTCTGAGCCATCTCTCCAGCACCCTTGCTCACCTTTAATCCCAGCACCCAGGAGGCAGAAGTAGGTGGATCTCTATGAGTTAGAGACCAACCTGGTCTATAGACTGAGTTCCAGGACAGCCAGGGCTACACAGAGAGACCCTGTCTCGAAAACTAACAAAAAGTTGTAAAAACGCCACCCCTAAAAATTACCCTTACTGTTATGATCAGGCCTACCAATGCAGTGATTCCTCGGTTCCTGAAATGTTCTAGAATGTATTTACAGGAATGGACCCGGGTTTTGAGAAAAGACGTGTTAGCTCTAAGTCCTCACCTCTCACCCTGAGGCAGGAGCAAAGGGTAGGGGAGTGGAGCAGGGCCTCCCTGCACTACAGGCCTAAGCAGCTGCCCAGAGTCCACACCTCAGCCTAAACCACCACTCCACAGCCCAGCCAGAGCACAGACATCACCAATGCATGACAGGAAAGGGCCATGCGGAGGCACATTTTAAAATTATAACAAAAGGCCCTTTGTGAGTGTGAAAAATATAGCTGACTCCATACATTGATTTATGAAAAATAAATTTATTACATAACACCTTGTTTTTAACAATGTTCAATTTTTTATTCAGAATACTTGTGTCATTCATGTAAAATAGTTTGATACAGTACGTTGTATGTTATAGCTTTTTACTTTCCCCTCAAAAATTCTAAGGCTCTCCTACTCCTTCTCCTTTGCTGAAGTAAGGGCACCCCAAAAATGTGCGAACAACTTTTTAAAAAGAAAAGTCAACTGAACAAAGTTTAAAGAGCACTACACTACCCAGCCTTAAATCAGGACAAAAGAAAGTGAACTGGATGCCGTGCCTTTTTAAGGAGGTTACCACTCATGCTTTTTTCATCAGAAAGCATGCTCACAAATCAGCAACACCAACGAGAGAAAAATAAAACACTGTCTGTGACAATCATTTCAGCTTGCTGAACCAAACAGGTTTATATCAATGACAACATATTTAATTACTATCAAATAGCAGCTTTAAGACCAGTCAAGTCATAGGTTGACAATAAAAACAAACCTCTAAGTTGGAAATTAATCTTTGGGAGTTCTGAAACCTGTCAGTAGAAACTATGTAGTTCTTTTGTACTTTCAAAAACAATCCAAGCAATATTCTTGGTCATAAAACACTGATTTCTGTAGAAGATGAATCAACCCATTGATAAGACACTAAAAAGAAAGGTGTACCAAAATAATCTTTTAAAGTCTCAGTTATTTTGTTAACATAATCTGTGTTTCAAGTACCAGTTAACCCTTGCGTCTTGTGTGTACTATTGGTCAGATAACGCTGTTCCACTGAAAGTCACCACACACGAGGACAAATGCTTGCCCTAGCACATTTCACAGCTTCAACTGCTACAGACTGTCACTGAAAACTATGCTTGGTCAGTCTGAACCCTGTCAAGTAAACTATGGAAGTAGCAAACCCACGACACAACTGTGCTAGCACTTTCTTTCAAGTCTAACTCCAAACTTAGGTACAACCTGGAAGCTACCACCCCAATCTGTGACAACTGGTGGAACTTGGCTATTGGACACTGTGAAGATGTGGTTGTACAGTACATTCGCATGGCCCACACCAGGTTCCCGCAGAGAGCTGCAGCCAGCTCCGCAGCATGAGCAACAGTGCACTGACAGACTCCAGCACAGCTCAGTACCGATGTGTCTGATGTGAGTACTGTGGAGGCTGCTGGGAGGTAGCTGAGTATCCCATGCTGCTCTGGGGCTGTGATGTGCTTGGTCCAGGGTTGGGATAAGCAGCATGTGGATTGGAACGCTGGAAAGAAGAATGAGGGAAAACCATGATTCAGGAACTTCTCGAATAGCCTAGCACCATGCCAGCAAGGCTGACAGGGGACTGAAGCGTTGTTCCAAGGAAGCAAAAATGTAAAACTTTCTGCAAGGCACTAGCTTTAGAATTAAAATAATAAAACAAACAAACAACAACAACACAAAAAAACCTCACAACTGGCCCTTATAAAACAAAATGGAACAAGAGCAAATAAAATCCCAGTTCTTTCAATATTAGCTTCTCTTTAGGAAGGTCAAATATAGGACATAAAAGACACCAATTTATATGCTGGGGAGATTTTATCATATCTTGTGACATGAGCATGAGGACCTTAGTCTGGATATCCAGAATCCATGTAAAACCCAGTAGGCATGGCTGCTATTTGTAATCCCAGAACTTGGGAACAGAGATGGGCTCTCCAAGGGAATCTGGCTAGCCAGACAATCAGCATCTGCAAGTTCCAGGTTCAGTGTGAGAAACTGCCTCAGTGGAAGATAACTAATGTCAATTTAGGGCCTCCACACATCCACATACATGCACACTCATGCCCTCACATCCACACGTGTCCAAGTATATAAACACATATACAAACACAAGCACAAAAACCAGACACAGTAAGTCCTTAACAACCTGCACCCAACCATGTAAGGGCACTCACTCTTTAGTGAATGACAGAAGACTGTCAGTGATGATGACAAGAACAAAGAGAAATAACCAGCACCGTCTATGCAGTACTTCTATAGGCAGGCCACCATGTTCAGGCCACACAGTCATTCCAACCTTCCCAAACGTCACATTCTGATCATTGTTCCAACTCTGTGAATGTGGATGCTGTCTATTTTACCTTTCTTATCACATTTAAGACATGGACAGCATCTAAATCTCCTACTCAAGTCTAACCCGAAGAAAGTGCGATGGCTAAGGGTGAAAGCCTTTGCTCTCCATCACTCTTTTATACCACTCAGAATCTACTCATCAAGTTTGGGTCACTGGGTAAATGCTAGACACATCAAGTCTAGGAGGACTTTCCAATTTCATTTTACAGGTGAAAAACACTGAAGCCAAGTGGTGTGTGTGTGTGTGTGTGTGTGTGTGTGTGTGTGTGTGTGTGTGTGTGTGTACACTGAGGGTGATACTTATTCGATTGCTTTCCACTTTATCTGAAGCAAGGTCTCTCATTTGAACCCAGAGCTCACTGACTTGACTAGAATTCTGTCTATGCCATGGGCTACCACGTCATGCAGCACTTGCGTGGATGCCGGAGTCTGAATGCTCGTGTGGGAGTGCTTTCCTTGCTGCACTGTCTCCCAGCACCAGCAGATGCTCTGTAACATGCCGCAGAGGTCCCAAGCTACTGGATTGCCAACCATGGACTTTCGACTCCAAGTCTGTTCAGAAGTCAGATCCCTTTCTACTTGTCTGTCGTCTTCCATACCTGTAATATTCCATGCTGACGTACTTTAACAGGTACACCAAGGCTACTTTCGACCACACTTTGCAACAGATCCTTTAGAAGCCCCAGAACAGCAGGTCAGTATGAGACACTTGTAGTACCTGATAGTCGGAGGTCATGATGAGTCCACCTGAGGTAGTGGTAGGAGGGACAACTCTCACTTTTTTCAGGGGGGGCCCCTGTGCGTGGCTGCTGTCCTGGTTCCCCGGATGGCCAGTTCCATTAGTGTGGTTATTGCCCTGCTGCTGCTGCTGGTTCTTCTCAATTGGTCAAACAGAAAACAGTTCAACTCAGAAGGAGAACCAAAGGTAGCCACACCCAAAGGTCACAGAGGTGGCCACCTCTCAAAGATCACAGAGGTGGCCACAAGGAAGGCACTGCCGACTGTAATTTAATACTTACTTTGTCTCCTTTGTCATCAGGTTCTTCTTCTGTTAAAAATTCTCGTTTGGGGTAAGGGATCTGACAACCGGCAAAAACACTATTCACAAGAGAAAAGAAAAGAGCTGTCTCACACCTCACTGACACTTTCTAAGACAGCACTTGGTCTCCATAGCTACAGATAAAACCACCTTTCATGCAAGTCCAATGCAAAGAATCCTTTAACCGGGGCTGGAGAGATGGCTCAGCGGTTAAGAGCACTGACTGTTCTTCCAGAGGTCCTGAGTTCAATTCCCGGCAACCACATGGTGGCTCACAACCACCTTGAATGAGATCTGGTGTCCTCCGCTGGCATGCAGGCAGAAGACTATATACATAATTAATAAATAAAATATTAAAAAAAATAATCCTTTAACCAAAGGCACTGCAGCAGGTAGTGGGAAGGCCCTTCACTATGTAACCATAATCAATAGTCACCCAACAGGACAGCTCTCATTGGTGCAAACAAAGTATCTACCACTGCTCAGTGTTTATCTGCCCTTCTCCAGTTAGAACAAAGACGGCAAAGAGAACATGAGCTTATTTAGGAACACCAGAACCCGCGTGTGGCCAGTGAGTAGGAGTCACAGCAGAGTGAACCCTTCAGTAGTAAATGGTTGACTGCTGAAAGGAATCCATTTCAGCATTGGCTCTGAAGTACAAAGACCCAAAATGACATACTAAAGCATGAAAGCTCAGGTCCCTCAGAGGCACGGCAACCTCTGAGGAAGAGCACTTAAAGATGCCAGCGTTGGGGAAGTCAGCAAATCCACCACTTACTCTGATGTGGGAAGTGGGTCTTCTAGGAAGTAGGGGTCCTGCATGGCCTGCTCTGAGGTAATTCGCTTTATTGGGTCCATAGTGAGCAACTTCTGAAGCTGAAATCACAAGTCACAGAATTATCAGTGCATACTCCCACAAAAACATTAGTGTACTATCCCTAAGCTTGTATGTCAGTACCCATGAGGGTACACAATTATTACTGCAACAGCACTCACAATCATCTCATGGTGACTACACTTACACCTCCTGACCCTCCCCAGTGCTTTTCCCTTCATTATCCACACAATTTCCAATGACTAAACTTGTATTTCCTATTGCTTTTCTTTTAAGAGGAGAAAGTGTTGTAATATAAACAATGCAGTCAGTTAGGTTTGTATCCAAATTCAGCATAGCTGCGTTTTAATTTAAAAAGCAATCCTCACAGTTATACCAGGTAATCAAGTACTCAAGGGGTGCACGGAGCTAGAAGTCACCTACTCAACTGCTGAGTCCAAACCCTGACTAGAATTTATTGGCTGAGAGCACCTGGCAGGTGAATTCTCCTCTTTGTAACCATATCTGTCCAGAAGGAGACTAAAAATAGTACAAACTACCACAGCTTGTTTTCAGTATTGGGTGCATATATGGTTCAGACTTGTGATGGTTCTTTATAAAGAGAGCACACCGTAAGTGTGAGTAAGGTAGTAAGTACACTGAGCTCATCCTTGCTACACCCAGAGATACCACACTAGTGTGGAAATGCAGCACTTGTGGCCATGTTTGTTCCTAATGTGATATAAGAAGTCCCAAAATGCCCTGGTATTCTGCAGATTCAGTGTGCCACACAAGCGTTGCAAAGATTTTTTTTTTAACTGAGAGCTGAGCCCAAGCCCTGTTCCCACAGCCTGACAGATAGAGAGATAAGCCCTGTTCCCAAAGCCTAACTGTCACCATGTACAAAACTCAAATCCAAATGGACCAAAGACCTCAACATAAATTCATACACAGGGAACCTTACAGAAGACAAAGTGGGAAGTAGCCTTGAATGCACTGACAGAGGAGACCACTTCCTACATATAACACCAATAGCACAGACACTGAGAGCAACAATTAATATATAGGACCTCCTGAAACCAAGAAGCTTCTGTAAAGCAAAGGACATAGTCAACAAGACAAAATGGCAGCCTACAAAATGGGAAGATCTTTACCACCCCCACATGTGACAGAGGCCTGATCTCCAAAATATATAAAGAACTCAAGAAACTAGACATTAAAAGACCAAATAATTCAATTAAAAACCGGGTATAGATTTAAACAGAGAATTCTCAACAGAATAATCTCAAATGGCAAAAAGACTCTTAAGGAACTGCTTAACAACCAACCTTAGTCATCAGGGAAATACAAATTAAAACAACTCTGATCTTACATCTCTCAGAATGGCTAAAATCAAAAACATCACTGACAGCTTATGCTGGAGAGGATGTGGAGAAAGGGGAACACTCCTCCACTGCTGGTGGCAGTGCAAACTTGTACAGCCAGTGTGGAAATCAGTATGACTGTTTTATCAGAAAATTAGGAATCAATCTACCTCAAGACCCTGCAATACCACCTTTGGGCATATACCCAAAGGAGGCACATTCACACCACAAGGACTTGTTCAACTATGTTCATAGCATTATTTGTAATAGCCAGAACCTGGAAACAACCTAGATGTCCCTCAACCGAAGAATGTATAAAGAAAATGTGGTATAGCCTGGCGGTGGTGGCTCATACCTTTTATCCCAACACTTGGGAGGGAGGCAGACAGATCTGTGAGTTCGAGACCAGCCTGGTCTACAAGAGCTAGTTCCAGGACAGCCTCCAAAGTCACAGAGAAACCATGTCTTGAAAAAACAAAAAGAAAAAAAGAAAATGTGGTATATTTATACAATGGAGTACAACTCAGTGGTAAGAAACAATGACATCCTAAAATTTACAGGCAAATGGACAGAACTAGAAAAAAAAATCCTCAATGAGGTAACCACAAAACAGAAAGAAAAATATAGTATGTAGTAACTCCTAAGAGACTACCAGACATAAAACAAAAGATACCCAGCCTACAATCCACAACCCCAGAGAAGGCAGATCCCTCTTCCAGAAACAGATGGAAGCAGATGCAGAGATCTACAACTAATCATTGTGTCAAGCTTCTGGAGTACAAATCTAAGTGAGGGAAGACTGATAATATGAACAGAGGAGTCAAGACCATGATGGGGAAACCCACAGAATCCGCTGACCCGAGCTAGTAAGAGATCAGTGACTTTGCACTGTCAACTGGGGAACCGGAAAAGGAACTAGGCCCTCTGAACACAGGTGACAATGCAGTGGCTTGGACAGTATATGAGGCTACCGGCAGTGGGTCCAAGATCTAACTCTAATGTACAAACTGACTTTGTGGAGTTCATTCTCTATAGAGAAATACCTTGCTTAGCCTAGACACAGGGGGGTAGGGGTGGGGAGGTGCCTTGGTCCTCCCCGAGTCTGATGGGACAGACTTAGTTGACTTCCTAGGGGAGGCCTTACCCTCTCTGAGGAGTGGATGGGAGGAAGGAGGAGAGAGGGAGGAAGAGAGGGGGAACTGGGATTAGAATGTAATAAATAAATAAATTTAAAAAAAAGCCTAACTGAAAGAGAACTGAGCCCTGTTCCAGAGCCCAACAGACAGATGTGAACAGGAACCTAACGACCTGCATTTCCAACAAGTTTCCAGCTGGACTTGGATCGCAAAGTAAAAAATTAATAGATAAATTGAGATTTAGGGAGTGATGACTCATAAAGGATTAAAGGCCATAAAATATTTTTAAATGCAGGGATAGTAAAACTCATTTAATTTAATGATCTTTAATCATTTTCGTGGAGGTATCTTAAAAGAAAAACATCTTTTGGGTTTGTTCTTTAAAATACCAACACTTGGTCAGGTGGTAGTGGTGCACACCTGTGATCCCAGCACGAGGGAGGCAGAGGCAGGTGGATCTCTTGTGAGTTCAAGGCCAGCCTGGTCTATAGAGAAGAGTTCCATGACAGCCAGGGTTACACAGAGAAACCCTGTCTCTAAAGACCAAACAAGCAAAACAAAAAACCCCAACATTTTCAGTGGGATTAAGTAAGAACTTCTGGATGAGATGGAGATTATCAATAATTAAGACAGTTTACCCCAATAAAATCAGACAGAGCTGGGGTACGGCCTGGAAGTAAAGCACACACAGGCACACATGGGGTTCTGGGGTTAAAGCCAAGAATTACAATAAAAAAATTTAAAAAAAAATCAACACATAAGCCACAAGGACAGTCTCTCAGGTGCCACTAGTCTTAGACTGCAGGGAGGCATGGGACTTGGGGACGGGCATGGCAATCCAATAATGCCTTTTCATCTGACAATATTTTGTTAGGATCAATAAGTCTTGGGTCTTGAAGGATTTGACTTAATTTCCCAATTTGGATTCTGTTGCAAATACATTTGAAGAAATTGTTATCATACATCTTCGATGTGGCAACATGGCAAGTTAAGCACTGTCTTGCAAAATATGATGTAACAGCCAAGGATGACAAAGAAGCAAAAATATTGGAGGGAGAAGAAAAAGCATAAGCAGATCAGGAAGAGCTGTTTGCCCTGTGGTTTATAGCTACTATGAAGGAAAGTCAAGGAATCCACATCTAAGAGTATGCTGGAACACATCTTAAAAGAATCTTAGGCCAAGCAAAGATTTCATATGCATTTTTAGTTAAAGCATCACAATGGACAGTCTGCTACAAACGAAGTGAGCAACAGCTGAATCCAAACCCCGCTGGTGTACTGGCTCTTTCAGAGTTTAGCCTGAGTCCGTTTATACAACAAGCATCCCATTCCTCCAGAAAATGGAGTAAGACTGTCAGCAAAGGGCTTTTAAGACTCAATTTGATGAGGTAACTCAAGAGCTAAAATTTTGTAAGCCATTTTGAAGTAGCTGACAGTATAAAACTATAGGTACTGTTCAAGGCGACTATCTAAGGAGGACAAGGACTTGGACATCATTCCCAAAACTGCATGGAAAGACCTCAAGTGCAGAGCTATAAGTAGAACGATGTCTGAGTGGCAGGAGTGCTAAGTGATCACTGGTTTCATTCTGCTGCTGTCTCAGCTTACCAAGTGGAATGCTTTACTATCAGGTTTAACTTTATGCTTTTCCATATACTTGATAAGGCTGCAGTTGGTGTACCTGAAAGAGAAACATCCACATTAGATCAGGGCTGAGTTGTACGTCAGCTGATAGCTCCCCACACACAAGTTTGATCATAATCAATAAGGAACACACATCAAAGACGCTCAAGCATCATAAAATGGCAGCATTAAGCTGATTTTAGACTTCATTCAGTATCCACCCTAGTCTTTTGCGTGTTTTTGTTTTCTGAGGTAGGGTTTCATGTGGCTCAAGCTGGCCTGCAACTCCATGTGGTATGACCCTGAACTTCTGACCCTCCTGCCTCCACATCAGGTACTGAGACTGTAGGTGTGCACCACCACACAGCAATAATAATGACTTGTGACTTTTTCTTTTTCTTTCTCTTGGGACAGGTGTCATGTAACCCAGACCGGTCTCAAGTTCACTACAAAGCTGAGCATGACCTTGAACATGGGAATGCCCGCGTGTGCCACAAGCCCAGTGCTGGGGATCAGACCCAGAACTTCATGCACTACACCAACTGAACCACACCAGTCACGCCAGAGTGGGTACTGATGATGGAATTTAAGACAATTTCATGAATACATCTTAGATAATATTTTTCCCACACAAATTATATCTTAATAATTATTTTGAATAGCATTTGTGCCAAAAGTTTAACTCAGCCTTAACAGTATAAGGTTATATGTATAAATACTGGATTTTGCCTGCCCCTGATCTTATAGCTAAGTAAAGTGAAACACTCACTTTTCCCTAATTAATACTTGCTTTCAATTCTATCAACTTTAAATGGGTAGGCAAGTGGCAACCAGCAAGGTTTTGTATTTTTTTTAGCTGTGGCACTTCCCACTAATACCTGGCTTCTAGAACGTAGTGAATATGGAAAGACATGAACTGATTTTCCCTCATTTCCAGATCAGCTGCTGATGAGAGTCACCTTTCAGTCAAGTTGTTCTCTTACAAAATGAGAACATCATAACAGTATTTATGAGTGAGTAAAATTCGTCAGTAAACCTGAGTGAGTGCTGTGGCATACTGAACATATAATTTTATTATGACTATTCTGGAAAAGTTAAAATCAACAAAGGGTCCATTTTCTTTCCAACTTACGTATTTCTTCTGAAATCTTTCATTAATGTTGAATGTTCGGGCATCTTTTTTATATCTTCCCAATCTTTATCTGTGAAACACATTGATAGATGTTTATGTTGCCTAGGCTCCTAGTCTCAAGAATGCTAACAAAGGCTACCTGACTTGGAGCGCTTTCTAAGAGCCTGGCTCTCACAGGAGTGCTCAGCTGCAGCTACATCCTGAGCTGGAAGGACAACCGTGGCCTTCCAGCTCTACACCCACTCAAGTGTCAGCCTACACTTGTTCTGTTCCACCATAGCCTGCCGGTACCGTTCTGTCACTAAAAGGAAATAAATCACAAATAAATATGTTACTAAACAGTCCTATTTTTCTATTAGTAAGCCCACTTACTTTTCCTCTTTCTTCAAATTTCTTGGTTCCATCAGCAAGCAGTATCTTTAACTGAGAAATCTACGCTCTTTTCTCTGACTGGCTCAGCACATGTTTCTGGACTGCAGCCCTTCACATCCTTAAAGCCCCTCCTCACACTGTCAAGGCAAATGGTGGGACACAGCACAGATACCAGTACCTTGGCTACTCCTAGTATTATTGTTCAAGAGTGTGGGCTATGAAGACAAGAACGATGCTCTAGTTAGTCTGGGGCAGTACAAGTGCTGTGGACACATGCTAGCTAAGCTGCCTTTCTGAAGCTGGCAGTGGCTGTTACCAAGGACCTGCTAGGTGCACAGATTGTACCAGGCAGCTGAGAACACTGGCTATGTAACTTCCACAGACATCACCCAGTGTAAATTAAATATTTACTTGAACTTTAAAATGGAATTTTCTCAACTCCTTATTTGCTCTAGTTTCTCTGCTTTGTCAACTTCTCAAGCTAAAAATCTTAGAGTAACCATTTAGTTTTTCCCTCAATTATACACTTGTTTTAAAAAGTTGTTTATCTGTCCTTAGTATGTCTTTGCGGCTGTGGTACTGTTATATGTGGCTGGTTGTCTGACTTCAGTTAGGTCACTCTCACTGAAATTTTTAATGTTCACAGTCACACTAGCCTTTCTAAAGCAGAGCACAAACTTCTCTGTTTACAACTCAAGGGTCTATTACGGATCCTAGCTGGCTGCTTCCTGGCTTTGCATTAACTGAGCCATCTTAAATCTATGTCAAGAGTCATCCCTGACTATGGCCCTCATTACTCCCAATCAGCCCCGTATCTCCTTCCCATAGGCCTCAGAAATAGTGAACTAAGTTGGATACAAGAAGAAGAAATTCCTCTCTAGCCATTGAGAAATTCCACTCAAGCCATGTCTATTTTGACAACATCCTAACAATGTAAATGCTTAAGACCTCTGTCTTTTTTTTTTTTTTTTAGACAGGGTCTGTCCACTATGTTGCTCACTCTGTCCTGAAATTTGCTATGTAGGCCAAGCTGGCCTTGAACTTACAGAGATACACCTGCTGCTGCCCCTGAAGTGCTGGACTTAATGGTGTTGCCACCATATCAACAGATTTTATTCAAGATAGTAACTGGAGCACAGGAGTACCCCAATGTGTACTGAGTAAATGAAATTCTTACCCCAGTGAGGCCTCCCCCAAACCACTGGGTAATTCCGGGAGAAGGGACATCTGTGTAGTTGCTTTGCCTTTGCTGATGATTAACAACCCTACAAGGACCCGTGGGATGCACGCCTCCAGCTAACTCTTATCAGTCTTAAGCTGTAGTGACCTAAGCAGCAGTCTCAGTAGACCACGATTTCAGTCATGTGCTTGATTAGCCAACATCATTTCACTTATTATTTTTAGTATTATTATTCTGGACCCCTGGGCAATTTTTGGTGGCTAGTGAATTAATGTTCTGTGGTATAACTAGGATCTGGGATACACCTGAGAGATGTTAACATCTATACATTTTCTCTCTGCTGCAAATGTTGACAATAATAATAATGACAAGGATGAGGGAGCAGAAGTGCTGTCTTCCACACAATGTGGATCTGCACAGCACTCTACGTAACCATAACCTTCAGCCTTTGTATTCGGGCAGCAGCTATGACACATGCTGCCAAAAAAAAACCTTCTACTGCTTATTTTAGTTTACACCGGCAGGAACAAGAGGTATCAAGTTAACCTGCTAATTCAGTTATTGTAAATAGCCCATCATTTCAAATACCAAACAACAAAACAAAACAGCAAACCAAAATGAAACAAACAAACAAAAACCTCATCGAATTCAGAAAACTAAGTATTTTAATGCTGATATTTGAATTCTATGAACTTTGTTCTTTCTCTGATTCTTTGAAAAATGAAAGTCATAAAAACTAAGAATCATGTAATACAAGCTTTCATAAGCCAAAAACACAACCTTTCCAAAGCAGATACCAAACAACAGTGATTGAGAACAAACAACAAAAGCAAGTGTGTACCTGCAGGGAATCCCATTACATTGAATATTCTGTCCAGCTGGTCATGGTGGTAAGGGTTACTAGTTTTGATGTCCTCTTGTCGACAGTGAAATATTGGTTCTGACGTTAGTAGTTCTGCAAATATACACCCTATAGCCCAAATATCTTTAAAAGAAAAAGAAAAGAAAAACAAAAACAAAAACAGGAAAGAGAAAATAAAAAGGAAAAAGGAAAGGAAAAAAGAAAAAGGAGGAAAATAAAGTGCTTCTTTCCAAAAGAAAATGCATTTTTAATTTAATGGGGAGTGCTCTTTTTTTTCTCTGTTTCTTGCACATTAACAGTAATCCCTAGGTAAACAAAACCACTAAATACCACAGGACTCTGTAAATATACCCCCCACCCACCAAGCTTTCATCCCTATGATATCTCAGTCACCCAGTGACTTCATAGAAGCCTCTGTTTATTTGCTGGATCTGGGTGAGTTCTAAATGCTTCAGACATGATTGAAGCTACACAGTTTGCATATGGGACATGGGAACCACAAACAAATAAAACTAAAGCAAAACAAACAGAAAATCCACATAACTCTTGAAATTGGGCACTTGCCAGAATACAGGAACATTTTTCATGACACAATAATTTTATCTTGTTTATTTACCTGCTAATTTTTAAATCCCATTAAGTACCATCTATGCTAACACAAACAAGAAAGACATGTATTCTAGTTCACCTCTTTATGCTACAGCAAAGTTAATTAGAACACAGGAAGAAAAAAAAACACAAACCCATCTTCAAAATGGGTATGCATGCTAAAAATTAGCAACAATTATTTACAGTAGACAAATTGCAAAGTGAATTTCCTTCATTCACGAGACATAACACACTGCAAATGTTCAACAAGTGGTTTCTGAGTGACCTACACAAAACCTGGGGCAAACGTCAATAACCACAGAGACAAATTATAAAAATCACTCTTATATTGAAGCTGGATTACTCAGGAATCTGAGAAACTATTACTTAAGCAGGGAATGAGAAAAAAGTGTTAATTATGAGAATTTCTAAACTTCAACACTGGAACATATTTATTAGAATTATGTTTTTTTATATTTTCATATATAACATTCTCATTTCATTATATACAAATTATATTTATATTTTGGAACAACAAGTTAATCTACTAATCTACTTGCATAAGGATTCACAATAATTTTTTCATATCAGAAAGCCAAGCTGGTCAATACTATCACATATAGAAAGTGGGTTTTTTGTTTTTGATTTCTGGAGACAGGGTTTCTCTGTGGCTTTGGAGGCTGTTCTGGAGCTTGCTCTGTAGATCAGGCTAGCCTTGAACTCATAGAGATCCTCCTGCCTCTGCCTCCCAAGTGCTGCCCCCAAGTGCTGGGATTAAAGGTTTGAGCCACCACCGCCCAGCTGAGAAAAAGTTTTATCAAGAAACAGATTGAGCTATTTTGTTTCAGTTTCAGAGGGTACATAGTATAGGAAAGCTAATAATTCTGTGATTATATCTCTCTCTCTCTTTCCCTCTCATATAAGGCTAACCTCTGACCATCTTAACCACTGCCTGGACAAGTGAGCTAAGTAGGGTTAAAACATGGGAAATTTAAAATTCAACTAATAACACATCCAAGACACTGTAATGGCTCTTCTGGTCGGTTACTAAGAACCCTGAAGATGAAGGAGCAGTTTCTCCATGACTGGTTTTCTCTTTTGAAGGAAGAGCATGGTGGGTGGGAGCAATAGCTACTGAATCTTGATAGACCAAACCCTGGTCATTTCTAACTTTCCTGCTTTCATCTGTACCAATTTTCTATCTTTCGCTTTCACAATCTTGATTTAATCACCAATCACGAACTATCAGATGACTGAGTATTTATCCCCTAAAACTTACTAATTCTTTCCAAGAAGGTCTCTCTTTTCCTTGCTCATATGTTTCAAAACATGTCAAATCTAACCCTTCCCTGGGAAAAGCCCACCCACGTCTGGAAACTTCCAGCAGCTATGTGTAGCTAATGAGACTCACAGATGGGGCAGAGGGTCTGTTAAACACTGCAATCAACAGTGCCCGATTCTGATGGGACGAGGAGGAGGAGTGTCACTTCCTTTCCCTGTTCTAGTCGCTCTACTCAGGAGAGAGCCGCACAATCGGTGCATACTCAGCAACCAGAAGAGGAGCACTTGGGCTCAGTTCTACACTTCAGTTCACTGGGGACTAATCACACCTTTCCTTCAGTTTTCTCCCTAACGCCAAACACTCAATTCTCTGTCTCCTAGATGACATGCTCACTAACCCATTATTTTCTCCCTGATTTAATGATGTAGATTGCAGTGCTGTCCAAATGGATGGAATCTGTTTGTAGTAAAGTAAGGGAATGTGACAGTCTATCATTGTGCCCTCTTCTCTCAAGTTTACATAATTTACCAATTCCAGCAGCGGATCCCCTCTGAACAACACCATGAAGCAAGCGTGCATGAGCATATGCTCTAAGAGCTGTCATCATTAACTCCAAGGGCAGTGTAGCTGCTTACACTTTAGCTACCAGCCAGCAAAGTCCAGTGCTAGAAAGAGTTCTCAGCAGGGATCTTTGAATGGTGTGGAAGATCTGAGTACTTCACTGAACAAACTTGTAGGAATGAAATGGTGAAGTAGAAACTAGAACTGAAAGTTTCCTCTATAATCCCTCATTCTTATTTAAAAATACTGAAAACAGCAAGTACATGATTCCTCAGATACCAACAGCTAAGAAAGACACCTCTAGCTCTTTGAGGCAATGTGTTTATAGAAATGAAGTGCTCTCCAAAAGGCATTGTGGCCAAATCAGGCATACATGTCTAGGGATCACTACCACTGAAAAATGGCATTGGCTTTAATTCCACTAATCTGTAACCAAGTCGGTTCCCTTTGCAGACTCCTACTACAGAGGTAAATGTTTCTATATAAAGCCAAGGAACTTTTATAGAGTTAATGGTGATGTAAGCATTTGACTCTAGCTGAATTCTCAATTTCCGAAATAACAATGAAGGACAAGATGGCATGTCTGACTGAACATATGCTCAGGTGTCAGCAATAAGCCTACAATTCCTACGGGGAGCCACTACCACTCTTTTTGCTCAAAAACTGACAAAAATCAACTCTGTGTATAAATTCCTACTTTCCTCTCATAGAGACTGAAAACACTTAAGAGACAAGATCCAGAATTTGCATTCATATTCAAGTTCATACACTAGCTACCTTTTTTTTTTTTTGTAGAGGAGGAAGAGAGAGATAAATACAATTAAGCTGTACTCTCCCAAATTAGATAGGCAATTAAAACTGCTGGACTACAGAATGGGAGACACAGATGAAGCCTCAGGTGCTCAGTGCATGGGGACTAAACTATTTGTACAGAGTCCAAGATTCTACCAAAAGTAACAATGCTTTGAAATATTAAATTCTTTGATAAAAAATATAACTATCATATTAACGGAGAAAGCCATTTTCAATTTGCTTTAAGAGTATTTTCCCAGAAGATTCAAAAGTGTTTAGATATTAGCACATATTCAAAAACAGTTAATAGTTTCAAACTTTTTTCTATTTTTTTCTGGTTTTTAAAAAGTAAACATTTTGGAAATAATTTTAGATTTATATAAAGCTTCAGGTAGAGAGATCTTGCCTATCTGATTTATCTTTATAGTTGTTTTTCCGTAAAATGTGACCTCAGAGCAAGCAGATAAGTGATTAGTGAACATAAAAGTTTTTGCCAAGAAAAGAGTCTCAGTGGATTCAAGATTAACTCAGAAGATGATCCCACCCTTCCATCTGGAGACTACATAGGAACATGGCCAAGAACTTAACAAATAAAAACCCATAGTTTTAGACAAAACAGGTTCACCTGTCAACAGAGACTAGGTATTAGCAGGTGGCAGTAAGATGAGGTCTGTTTGGTGTATTCTAGATAATGTTTGGGCAAAAAAGGTAAGAAGGTGGCCGGGCAGTGGTAGCATATACGCCTTTAATCCCAGCACTCAGGAGGCAGAGGCAGGTGGATCTCTGTGTGTTTGAGGCCAGGCTGGTCTACAGAGTTGAGTACCAGGACAGCTAAAACTCTATTTCAAAAACAAGTAAACAAATAAATATGAAACAACAACAAAAAAATTTGATAATGTGATGGGGGTTCGTTATCCAAGAAGGCATGATCCAGGAAGGTCTCTGTGAGAAGACAGTATTTTGACTGAAGTTACATAGATGCAGTCGACAAGTTTCTGGACCATGCAAGGTAGATGAAAGAGCATGAAAAAGCCCTCAGCCTACAGCATGATGCCTGAGCAGCACGTTGCCCTACAAAACTCTACAGACATGACAAACTGGGAAGGACTGCTGTTTCAACAGCTAGTAGGCCCTCTCCCCACTGTCTACCAATGCCCTCTGCTGTCTGATATACAGTGGTTGGGCCAAAAGCCAGGAGACTCTTAAGTCTGACTGGCCTCAGAACAGACTCCCCTATGCTGGTATCTGGTCTCCCTTGGGTTGATAGCTGACGGCTGGAGAATCTACAAAGCATAATCACCAACCTATGTACCCCACGATCTAGCAGAGTACCCAGGTGGCTTCTGCAACTTAAATACAAACAGAGAAACAGAGAAAATAGGGGTCACCTAAGTAATTAAGTGACACTTAAAACCAGAAGAGAAATGAAGACGCAGATAGCGGTTGGAAAGGAAACACAATTCTTTCCTCAGGTTGCTGGGGAGATGGCTGACATTCAGACTGAGCGTGTTAAGTCACAGCAGCCCACAGATTTTCAAAGCACGAAGAGGGTCCTGTGGAAGAAACCAGCAAGAAGAAGCTTCCCCACTACTTAAGAACATGGATCTAGGCTTCAAGACACTCAAAGAAGCCACAGACAAGAAATGTCCTTCACCAGTGTGGTGACCAAGATGAAGATGCAGAGGCCTGGACTTCTTGCCCCATCTGCAAGTAAAATTGCTTCAAGAAGTGCCACAAGAACATGTTGGTGCACCTGTAGTCTGTCCCTCAGTCCATCCATGTTCCAGCCCCCAATGGACATGCACGCAGGTGAGACACAAAAGCATGGCCCTGAGCAAAACAGTAAACTTCAGTATGCTCAAGGCTTCAGGGTTATGAGCAGTAAGAGGCAGTTTCCAGAAGTTCTGAAAGGACCACAGCTGACTCCCCTGAAAACAGAACAATTATCTTCCAACAGGTAAGAACTAAGGTTTACTGCAGACCACAAACAAGTGCTGCAATCCCCGTATCCAAACACTAGCACAGCTTCTTTCCATAAACCAGCACAAGATGCCACGCAAGAGTCATGGTTGGACAAGGAGCACCCAAGAAAGGCAGAAAAGCATCAGAAGAAAAAGCACAGTGGAAGACACCAAGAGGCTCAACATCCCCTAACAGTATATTCAGGAAGAGAGAAACAGGAAACTCTGAGAAGTCAAAGGACCATATACCTTAGGAATTGTCCAGTGACACCACATATGAACTGAATGCCTGTGTCCCAGAAAAATCACTGTCAAATGTGGAAATGGGAAATGGCATTTGTCTCCAGAAAGAGACAAGCCTAGTGATCCACAGTAATCTGAGAAGGCTGGCCTGAAATTAGATTAACCACACTGCTACCTAAAGGCAAAAGAATATCAGAGCACAACTTGATACTTAAAACTCTAAACCATCAAGTAAATAAAGGTCTTTTCCAGAAATACTATGAATTAGGTAATTTACCTCTAAGATAACCTTCCAAAGACAGCCACATGAGGAGAAAAGAAAAAATACAACCATGGGATGCAGAAGGCACAACAGTCTAGAGGAATAAAAAGGGAAGTGTCTTGGGAGGGTGGTAGAATAGGCCAAGGTTACACATCACAGGAGAAGTGGTTACAAGCCACCCTGTACAACAGAGCAAGCCCAAGGCCATCAATGTAAAAGGGGAGAGCAAAGCACACTAAGAAAACAGTACTTCACAGTAGCACTCACCCCAGTAAGATGAAGCGGAGAAGGACATCAGCCACAGAAAAGTAGCAGGAAAAGGGCTATGGCCGAGTGTTCCACTCACTGTACCAGGGAAGTCAGCTATCAACGTCTGCAGCGACAGCCGGTGGTAGCTAGCAGAGGAACTGAGAAAGCTGCTAGTGCCCTGTCACCACTAACAAGGCTGACAAATGGGGACAGGAGAAAGCAAGAGCACCATGCTCCTAACTTTGAAAAAGTCCTAACTCCTCAAGTTTGCATATTTTAATTTTGGAGGTATCTTTTAGAAGTTAGCATTTCTTTTGGTGGCATAAAGAACATTTGTATGAAGTTCCAGAACTTACAATTTTTAATTTCTTCTTTTCAAATAAAATTAAAATTATCACTCAAAACATTCTGAACTTTTTTTGTAAAGAGAAGTGTGCAATTCTATGCTCCTGGGTGCTAATGCATATATATGTGTGGTGGAATTCTGGACTTTGTTTTTATAATTTGGTCTATTATTTGATTTAAACATGCACAAAAATATTTCTCGTTCACAGAAAAAAACAACCTTAAAGTCCTGTAATTTTAATTAGCCCTACTCACCAATTGCTTTGGTATAATGTCGTGCTCCAAGGAGTAATTCTGGAGCTCGGTACCAGAATGTTACAACCACTGGATCCAAATCTGCTAAAGGCTTCAAAGGTGAATTAAATAATCGGGCAAAGCCCATGTCAGCTGTAACAACAAGAAAACCACATAAGGAAACAGATAGGCCTACTTTACTTATACAGTCTCACTTGCCAGTGTTATTTACCAAGAGTGTACTCAGACCTGGGGCAGAGGATAAAGCACCTCACTGCTTTTACCGACTGAAATGTAACAAAGCTTGAGATCACAGTTTTTTTTTTAATAAACTGTCACTCAGCTCTTGAACTAGGTTCTCTTGCTAGACCCCTGGGAGATCTCTTTCAGAGGGCCACACCTTCGTGGGCAAGACAGGTTGGGACATCAAACTCTACTTCAGCTCTCAGCACTCAGACACAGCTGAGTGGGGCTTTCCATTGTTTGCATCAACAAACCTACTCCCTGCTGTCCTCAGAGCTGACAACACAGCACTTTAATACTATTTCCTCATCTATATGGCCGGAGTTTCACTAACTTGATTTTAAAACACACAGCATTTTTAAGTTGGAATAGGCTTTATTTCATTCAGTCTTATGCTTTTTCACATGAGACAGAAGTTCAAAAGATCACAAACCCAAGCCCCCAAGTTGGCCCCGAAGAGAGTTCATGGCACAAGTACCATGCCATCAAGCTACTTAGGTACAGACTTTGCCCTGCTCCATAATCCGAGACTCTGTCTCTGTATGACATCATATGCAGGGTCACTACACACAAAGACAGGATGACCCCTACTTACCACCCACTGGGAGGGTTCAAGATTTACAACCATTTGGATAAACTTAGTTCTGTTTTAACATATTTTTAATGGAGTAAATTATTCTTTAACTGACAATTATGGATAAGGAAAGCCCAAATTTTGGCAAATAGTAAAAACCTTGAATCAGATTACTAAATGTTTCTTTGAAATGCCAATGCTTGAAGACACAGCATCACCCAAACCTCCCTACAGCCCTTTGGGTGGGTCTAGTCTGTTCTGCATGTCCTGACCTGGCATTTGAATCTGACACTGTGACATCAGATTGAAGAAATCCCTTCAGAAGCTCATCTAAGGCCAAAAGCATTCAGTGCCCCAAGATGAGCACTGACAGCATCAGGTATCAATGGCTCAGGGTACACCAAAGAGCATCATATGTTTTCACAGCTAAGAATCTGCAAAGCCTGTATCATAAAAGAGCACTGAAAAAGTATACTTAAAAGTGGAAAGTGAGCTTTAGGGAACTCACAAAGGAGGGTAAGGGGAGTGAAGAGCAGCTGGTGAGGAGGCGGCACACAGCTACAGGTGCCTCTACTTCAGTGGTTCTCAACCTGTGTGGTTGTGACCCCTTTGTGCATTGAACCCTTTCACGGGGTTGCCTAAGACCACAGGAAAAAACACAGATACATTACAACTCATAACAGTAGCAAAATTACAGTTATGGGGCTGGAGAGATGGCTCAGAGGTTAAGAGTACTGGCTTCTCTTCCAGAGGTCCTGAGTTCAATTCCCAGCATCCACATGGTGGCTCATAACCATCTGTAATGGGATCTGGAGCCCTCTTCTGGCTTGCAGGCATACATGCAGGCAGAAAACTGTATATACAATATAAATAAATAAATCTTTTTTAAAAAATTAGAGTTGGGCTGGAGAGATGGCTCAGAGGTTAAGAGCACTGGCTGCTCTTCCAGAGAGGTCCTGAATTCAATTCCCAGCACCCACATGGTGGCTCACAACCATCCATAATGAGATGTGGTGCTCTCTTCTGGCGGGCAGAACACTGTGTGTGTGTGTATGTGTATGTGTATATGTATATATATATATATATATATATATATATATAAAATCTTTAAAAAAGATTTTAAAAATTACAGTTATGAAGTAGCTGTGAAAGTAATTTTATGGTTGGGATCAACAACCATATTAAAGGGGCACAGTATTAGGAAGGATGAGAACTACTGCTCTATTTGGTATCAAACATTGCAACAGAAATTACTGTTGTGTTCTGACAATTCTGTATCATAATTACACTAATTTATAATTTAATTACATGTATTCTACTCCCAAACCAAACAAACCAAATACATGACTAACACAGCTTAGCAAAATGACAATGAAAGAAGCAACCAGTTGGGGACAATCTGTCCCTACAGGTTGTAACCCTGGAGAGGCCTGATGCAGAATATGCATGACAAGGCCTGCAGGTTGAGAACTGTGCATGCCCAGCCTAGGATGAGCCTCGGTCAGCAACTCAGCTCCTTTGGCTGGAGGATACACACAAGTGTTTGTTCTCCTTAACTTGGTAAGGAGACTGACAGAAGAATCAAAGTGGCTTGGGACAGAGGCTACCACCTCCACAGGCTGTTTAACTAAGGCTGAGAGAGGGCTGCAGAAAGCCTGGGCGGCTTATTTTACAGCTACAGAAGTTCATTCTTTAAGGATCGTCTGATACCTGGGAGGAAGGTTCTTCCGTTTATGTACATTCTTTTGAAATGTTTTTGACATTTGGAACTACGAATATGTGCATATCGATACAGAAAACAATGACACAGCTGCCTACAACAATTTTAAAAGTGTATTGAACTGTGACTTATCAAAGATATAACATACCAATTTTTACTCTTCCTCGCTCAGGACCTTCACCCATAACTAAAATATTAGCAGGTTTCTGTGGAAACAAAAAAAAAATCCTTTCAATAGACAGTAGGAGTTTGCCTTTAAATAGATAAATATGTCAATGTAACATAAATCTACTTAAATAAAAACTTTTACTAAAAAAACTAAAATTAAATAAATGCAGGAAGCCACAGAAGAAACACAGCAGACAGCTGAGGCTCCTAATCAACAGGTCTTCACTGTGGAGCACTGGAAACTTACAATGCTGAGGATCTCTCCTTTTCTCCCTTTTTTGAGACAGGGTCTCAGGATGTAGCCCTAACTAGCCTGGAACTCACTATGTTGACTACGGCTGCCTTGAACTCCCAGTGGTCTGCTGGAGTCTGTCTCCTACTTTTTGTTTGTTTTCCAGTCTTACTCTGCCTAGAACTTGTGATGTACACAGGCTGGCCTTGAACTTGTGGGGGTGACTTTCGCCATGTCCTTCTGAGTGCTGGGATTCTGGCAAGAGCCACGAGGTTGACACATGCTTTCAATTACATAGAATGTTCTAAGAGCTTAAGAAAAAAATTAATCTCCACAGACCATTTAATACAAAGTAGCAAATTAATTACAGGTAAAAATTCACCTGATATTCTTTTTTGGGAAGACATGAGATATTTAATATAAAGAAATCTAACATGGTCTTTTTCTAAACAAGTTGGCACAGTAATAGTAATTTTTCATTAACAACAGTTTTGAGGCTTTTTTGTTTTTAAATAAAAAGGGAGATCAAGTTTAATAATGAGATTTTGCCAAAGTGGAATTTTAGTTTTAAACTCAACACACCAGACTATCACTTACAACCTGTTAAAAGTGGTACCCGATCCTCTGGCATCTGAGGGCTGTCTTCCTCGGGAAGAGAGAAAGCAAGTGAGTGGCATTGGCTTCTCCTTCAAACCTTATCCTGCTAACCTTCCTACTACCGACACAGCTGCAGTTCTGCCAATCTGATAGAGAGAAGTAAACTAGACTGGGGTGCCTCTCAAATATTAACCTAAACTTTAGAAACCAGATTAGAGGGGCTGGACAGGTGGCTCAGCATTGGCTGCTCTTCCAAAGGACCCAGGTTTGATTCCCAGCACCAACATGGCAGCTCAGCTGTCTCTAACCCAGTTCCAGGGGATCTAATACCATCAAACAGGCAAAACTCCAAGGCATATAAATAGATAAAGCATTAAAAAACCAAATTAGAGATTTTGATAAAGGCTGTTTAAAGTGGCAACCACTTCAAGGGCTTCTACAGCCATCACTGGAGATGGCTCCAGGGCAGTTACAACAGTACTCTGTACTACTAACTCACAAACGTAAAATTAGTTCTTTTAAGAAGCCAAAAGAAAAACAAATGCTGCTGCTGAAATGGCAGGCTAAGACATCAGAGGTTACAAATTATTCCTAGTTTCTTAAGATGAGGCAACTCAGCACCAAAGCATAAGACTAGAAGACAGGTGCGGTGGAGAGTCTACTGTCAACACCATCGTCCCTTCCAACAGCATTCAGGCAGAGTTCTTGGATCTGTGTGTCTGCTATCAACATCATCATCACTATATGTTATTTAACAATAAATTCTGAGATCTTTGTCATCATCACATTCTTCACCTGGGGCAGCTGGCCAAGTGCCAAACATGAATTCAGTGATGCTAACAATGTTTCTAGTGAGTTCCTTCAGTGAGCTGATGCTGCCCAGAGGCTGGAACTGTCTCCCCACACTGCAGCCATCACTCAACGCTGGGTCAGTCTCTGTGGAGTCAGTGATTCCATTCAGTGAGGGAAATTCTGGCCTCAACTCACACCACAGGGCATGGCCATGAATGGAATTTTCTTCTTCGGGTTCTAAGCTGCCTGATACATGTCTTCTCCTTAATCTTATTTTGAGTCTCTTCCCACCAAACCCATCTTTCTAAAAGACAAATGTGATTATGTCACCTCCATTACTGGGATCTTTTACAGCAGCATGGTAAACACTATACGAAGACTAGGAGAAACAGAACACAACACAATTCAGACTGTGATTAGAATCAGGTGTTATTTATTGGTTTTAGATAGGATCTCGTGTGTCCTAGGCTGTCCTCAAACTCATTAGATAGCTGAGGATATTATATTTCTAACCCCTGTCCCCACCACATACTAGGTTTATGTGGTAGTGGGCACAGAACCAGGACCCTGTGCACACTGTGCACACTGGGCAAACGCTCTACCAACTGAGTTACATCCCATCCCTAGAACTAGTTTCTGTGAATAAGGATTAGAACAAGAGTGTTAAAGTAATAGAGAACATGGATCATTTTCTCAAAAAATCCTTAAGATAATTCTGTTGCAGATTATTGTTGCTATTGCAACATTCCTGCATGGCTACAGAGATGAATGGCTCTGTAGTTAAGAACACTGGCCTGCAAGTGGGAAGGCTGGGGCTTACACCCTGGCACCAACAAAGCAAGCTGGGATCCTATGTACCTAAACTCTACTCCAACAGGTTGGGGCTTGCTGACTTCTATCTATCTGAGAGCAAGCCCCAGGTTCAGCAAGAGACCCTGCCTCAAAGGAATACACAGAGAATGACAGACAGGGGTACCTGTCTCACTCTCTTTTGGCCTCCTTCAATCATGATCACTCTGTCTCTCTGTCTGTGTCTCTCTTTCTGTCTCTGTCTCTCTCTCTCTGTCTCTCTCTCTCTCTCTCTCTCTCTCACACACACACACACACACACACACACACACACACACACACACACACACACACTTTCATTAACTCCTCCCTGGATTAGATCTGCCCTTGCAATGGTACACATAATACCTTCAAGCTGGTTTCTATTATGTGTAGCTCACCACCACCACCCTGCTCTGTGTATCCTCTCTTCTCTGGGTAGACCATGACCTCTCTAACTTTAACTGCTGTGCCATACATCCAAGGGATTTTTTTCCTGTGTATTATTTGATAAAGATAAACATTTCTTTCTTTCCCTCACTGACAGAAATAATGCAAACATTCTGAATGTAAACAATTCAAGCTATAATGTCACAGACTCTAAGTCTCTTTTATTGCCCCTCCTCTACCCACAACAAATCCTACCAGTTTTTCCAAAGCTACAAGCAGATTAACTCCTTTGCTGTGATGGAGTTAGAGCACATTCCTAACCAACCCTAGAAAATTATGTCCCTATCTGACAAAAGCACAATCATAACTATTCTCCTGTGGATTTAGCAGACCCTTGAAGTCACCAGATGGGAGCACTGACCTAGTCTGGCACCAAGCAAAGGGGAAAACCTCTTTCCTCCCTCCCTCCCTCTCTTCCTAAGAACAAGATCTCACTATATACAGTCTTGGCTGTCCTGGAACTAACTCGCTCTGTAGACCACGCGGCCTTGAAATCCGCCTGTCTCTGCCTCCTGAGTGCTTGGCCAGTTTCTTTTTATTCTAAACTGATCAAGTTTTGAACCTGAGCTTAAGAACAGCTATGGAATAGTTTCTTTTGTCAAGTTCTGGCCTTTTTGTGTTTGTGAGCCAAATTTCTACAATTAATTTTTTAAATTATTTTATGTGTATGAACTGTTTTTTGTTTTTGTTGTTGCTGTTTGGCTTGCATGTATGTATACGTGCATGTCTGCTGTCAGAGAGGTCAGAAGAGGATCTTGGATCCCCTGGAATTGGAGTTATAGGGGCTATAAATCACTATGTGGACACTGGGAATCAAACCCTGGTTCTCTCAAAGAGCAACAAGAGCTATAAACTAATGAATCATCTCTCCAGTTCCTAGTATTACAATTTTCTTTGCCAGGCTACTCCCTATCTGGTTACAATCTAAAACCCGTCTTGGGGCAGAAAGTCCACTTAGCCAAGGTTTTAGTTTTTCTCACAATACTTCTTAAAAAAATTTTTTTTGAGACAGAGGGACTCCCTCTGCTGCCCAGGCTGACCTTGAACTACTGGGCTCATGGGATCCTCAGGCTTAACCTCTCAACTCATGGGACTATGTGTGTGAGCCTTGCAGGATCACTTACTTTTAAAGTGGTTTAGACTTATTTGGACTTGCTATATCTTGTGTGTGTGTGTGTGTGTGTGTGTGTGTGTGTGTGTGTGTGTGTGTGTGTAAAGAGTGAGGGAGAGAGGAAGAGAAAGAAGGAGAGAGAAAACAGTTGTGTTATGACTAGTCTTATCAAACCCTTGGATGTTATTGTTTAGTCAGTACTGAGGAAGTCTCCAAAAGATTTGATAGGTAAATTTACTTCATTACTTAATGCTATACATATTAAGATGATAACCTAGTCTCCAATAAAAGTAGTTTCTTCCCTTTCTGTGTCAGTAGGAGAATCCAGGAGAAGTTTAGTTCCAAAGCCAGGACCTCCTTCCAAGCAGTCCTACACAGAACCACACCTGTGATAAATATTTTCATGGGATGTCTGAGTCACCTTGAAAGGAGATGCAGAACACTGTTGGTGACATTTTGAGGGGCACACACTCCATAGAAACCAATTTCCAATTGACTTTAGATATCCTTACATCACGGTAACAGAACAAGCATCACTGCCCAGTGGGTAATGGCCTAAGGGCGCACTACTGTTTGAAGCTACAGTGCCTTTCTCTTGAAAGCACCGACAACTGTTTTTAATGGAAAGAACATGGTCTTGTTTTACAACCAGATGGTTTCTTTTTTCTACTCTGTGACTCGCCTCCAAACCCTGACCAGTATTTCCCACAGCAGATAACTTGCACGGTAGACATCACCATTCTTGTTCCTGCACATACATCTCCAGGGTAATGTGATGACAGAACAAGACATACATATTAAACATCATGAGCCATTTCTAATTCTTCCTATGAATCTTACCAGTGTCCGCACATGAGTGCATGTACACATGGCTGGCTCATTTTACAGATGGGAAAAATCTAGCTCATTTGGGTGAGGAGTAGAGTTTAATGGTGGAACATGTGTCTACCAAGTGCAAGGTCATGGGTTTGACACTGGGCACATGAAAGCGAACACCAATGCCATAGTGGCTAATCCTTCCCACAATT